TCATAATACTCACCTCCTAGGAACAACACTAGATTCTTGCCAACCAATCATCAGTCAGAAAAATCCCCAGAAGACATCTGAAGAAGCATCATAATACTTGTATGGTAGGAAAAATACAGAACTCTTGATGGACTCCTTCCACTAAGGGGATGACTAGTGTCGTTCAAGGTGAGGAGGAGTTCCTTGCCAAGGCCAAGATGGTGGACTTAATGGTGGACGTTTCTTCAAGGGTGGGAAATAAGGAAGGTGGGCGTGATGATGAAAGTTTTGGGCGAATGGGAGAAATGAAGGGAGGATGACGTTTTGGATGTTCTAGTTGGCTCTCTTCACCAAGTGGAGGTGAAGGCCACTTAAGGGAACCCTAAACTCACTCTAAGGAGGAGATAGGAGAGGGAGGTCGTGTAGCCCTAGTGACTAAGGAGAGGATTTGAGGCAAAAATGCTCACTCAAATTCATATATTCCAAAGTATTTACAAGGTGTGGTGCCTTGAGTATTTATAGGAGTGAGAGGCATCTAGGGTTGCATTTGGAGAGTGCATGGCCGAAATTCACAATGCCAAATGCACACCAAATGAAATCCAAATTAACCCTAGATGCAACTTGGTGGCCAAGGATGGAATCTTTGGGTTTAGATAGGCTACATCTAGGTGCATGATAAGACCATGCAACCTTTGCCCTCCACTTGGGCCTAAGCCTTTCTAAGTCCAAAAATAGGTTCAAAAATCACCAAAAATACATCTAGCCTCCTAATTAAATACCTTAGCCCAAAAATAAAAACCTATGATCTAAATCACCCCATAATACAAGGGTAAAATGGGAAATACAAAAGAAAATAACCTGTGACTAAAATACCCCAAAATACAAAGGTAAAATTGGAAAATAAAATAATCCTATACTAATGAAGCTTAGGAGAATATTAATACTCTATGATCATGAGGAGGGTGTCCTTTGGTGGGTGAACTCCCTCATCCTCTTCCACTCTCCTAACCATGGACCTAGTGATGGGGCCCACATGAATCTTCAAGGATGGTCCTCCATCAACTCTTGCCATACATTCCCAATATAGATGTATAGAGAGGCATCACAATACTCTCACGATAAGAACAATACCAAAATCCCTGTCACACATTTCATCCCCCCAATGGAGATGCTTGGAAATGCATCATAATACTCACATGACGGGAACAAGACCAGAATCCCTGTCATCCATTTGCTAGTGAAAATGCTTGGAGAAGCATTATAATACTCACACAGTAGGAACAAAATAAAGTCCCTACTAACCTTCAAACTCAATTAGCAAAGACAGCCCAAGACAAGGGCATATCAAGCGCCTTCTGCCTGTCATCCTAGGACAACCTCTTTTATAAATCAAGCAAACAAATGAGGGCATCACTAGATTCCTCAAACTACATCATCGTGGTAGATGGCCTGGAGAGATCGATAGAATAATACTCATTTCCTGAATTGGTACACGACAAAGCTATAAGGGAAAAGTCTGGAGAGACGGTACTTACATCATGACTTGTGGTGGAGGCCCATGGGCCAAAGGCCCAACTACTAGGGCCATGGCCAAGAGGATGCATGAAGAGTGGGCTAGTGCTAAAAGTAAGCCCATAATTCGTTTCAATTGGGCTATACTCTAAAGCCCATGTAGTGTAGGTTTGGGCCTATTGGGCTTGTATTTTGTTTTGTGGATCTTGTATTTTGGTCAAGTAGAGTAGGAATTTCATTTATATGTAATTTGTAATTTAGGTTAAAGGGAGTTTCATGTGCATCTCAATTTAAATGTAATTAGCATTATATTTAGAGTGCATTTCGGTCACACCATATATGTGAAGCACAAGCACCAAAATTTACTCTTAGATGCATGCTAAATTACATCCAAATTGAGTAGCACATGGGAGGTGACCGGTTGGCTCCAAAATTTGAATTCAAACATTCAAATTTTGGCGCCTAAGGTTTAATTGACCATACCATGGTTTAATTAAACCTTAGGTTAAGCCTAGCTTCCCTAGCACACTTCTTAAGCCTATATAAACCTTTTGGCCGTGTAATTGTGACACTTTTGGCAATAGATGAGATTCATTTTCTTCAAATTGAATCACCACCGAAAGTCTCTCTAGGAGATCTCTCTCTTTCTCAATTCCTTGAGCCTTCCTCTTCGGAGCTTTGGAATTCTTTCCGGATGTCTTAGTATTGCTTGAAGCAACATTGGTTCTTCTAAGCTAGTTCCGACCTTGAAGCTTCTCTAGGCAAAGGCTTGAAGAATTTTGTGAATCTGGTCAAGAAGCTTGTCAAATAAGAGTTTCATCAACTTGGGTAAGCTAAAGCCTTAATATCAATCTCGCTCGGAGAAGTTAAGCTTAGAGAATACTCATCTCCCCCACTCGTATACGACAAAGCTATAAGGAAAAGTCTGGAGAGATGGTACTCACATCATGACATGGATCGGCTGAAGTCTTGATAGCAGTCCAACTTGAAGAGGCTAAACTTAGAGAATACTCATCTCTCCCATTGGTATAACACAAAGCCATAAGGAAAAGTCTGGAGAGATAGTAATCACATCACGACATGGGTCGGCTGAAGCCCTGATATCAGTCCAGTCTAGAGAGGCTGAGCTTAGAGAATACTTATCTCCTCCACTGGTATATGACAAAGCCATAAGGAAAAGTCTGGAAAGACAATACTCACATCACAACATGGGTCGACTAAAACCCTGATAGCAGTCCAACCTAGAGAGGCTGAGCTTATAGAATACTCATCTCTCCCACAGGTACACGATAGAGCCATAAGGGAAAAGTTTGGAGAGATGGTACTCACATCACAACTTGGACCGGCTGGAAGCCCTAATACCAGTCAAGCCTGGAGAACATGACATGCAGAAGTAGTATAGAACATCCATACGAAAATCAAAGGTTTTGATGGTACATTTTTCCATCCTTGTTCCCTAATGGAGCACGCAACCCGACACTCAACTACTCTAAGGAACAAGGATACGGGCAAACCCATATATCTGAAGGAAGCAATATGGAAGCACCTATACGAAGGGACAAAGAGAAGACTCGAATGAAATCTCTACGTCTTTACTTGACTTTGGAAAAACAACACATAGCCATCCAAAGTACAAGTTATATTCTAATATATAAATACCTAAGGTCATGCTTCATGTATTCGCTTTGGAGTATATTGATATTAAGAGAGCCTTTGTGCCTTGATGTCTTGCCTTAGTCACTTGGTCTATTCGACCATTTTTTTTTCTCTCTACCATGAGTGATCAAGCCTAAAAGTGGCCTTCATCCACTATGAAGTGAGAAAAACCCTAGAGTATCTCTAAAACCTTTAATCAAACACCTTGAATCCATAACTGTTTTTGACCAATACCTTTATCCAAGTACTAGAAGACTTGAAGAATCATGATCCTTGGATAAATGAAGGCCTTCCATTGGTATTTCTCATCCATTAATGGTTAAAGGGTTCCATCACTAATGTGACATAGTTTGGATGTCATGCATGTTGAAAAAAATGTGTTTGACAATATCCTCAACATTGTCATGGACATAAAGGCAAAAACGTAAGACAATGCAAATGCAAGAGCATATTTGAAGGAGATATGTAAACGCCCATGTTTAGAGTTGATATTTGAGAATGAGGTGTTTAAAAAGCCAAAGGCGACATATGTCTTGAATGATAACCAAAGAAAGAAAGAGGGTGAATGGATAAAATAATTAAAATTTCTAAATGGGTATGCATCTAACATATCACGTTACATTAATATAGATGAGGAAAGATACTTGGAATGAAAAGTCATAACTATTATGTTGCCAAAGCCTATATGAGGAGTATTAACAAAACTATTGGAGAAAAGATACACACTAGAAGAGAGTTGAATAATATATATCAAAAACTCGTACTTTTTAAAATGCAGTGAAATAGTAAATGCTTTGACAGACGAAGTATTGGAATGCAACAAACGAACGAGCGTAGATTTTTTTATACTGGTTCGTCTCAAATACAGAGACTACATCCAGTTCTTAATCCAACCAAATTGAGTTTAACTATCTTTTAAAAGATACAAGTATTCTTTAAACAAGCCACTTTTGACTCAAACCTTAGTAATCTTTAATTTGTCTCTTCAAATAATTATCCAAATATTGTTTTAACAAGTCTCTCCAGACTCAATCACCAAGAATTCTTTTCAACCAAAGTAACCTTTAATAAATTCAATTCAATTTTTTTTCCATATTTTAAATATACTCTTTACTTTAAGTGATTGTTATATTTAATGCTAATTATAAATGAATGTATATGACATAAATTTAATAATAAATGAATGATATAATTTTTTTTAACTCTAAATAACTTTAAAAATTAATGATATTTACTTATAATTAATATTAAAAAATTAAATTTATTGTTTATAATTAAAATAAGAGATAATACTACAATACTTCGAGACAAAAATATAAATTTTAAAAAGTCAAATTTAACAATATAAAACACATAATTATTCATTTATATTCATCAATAATATAATTAATATGTTCATTCATATTTAATGAATAATTTACTACAACAAAATTTTGACGTTAAATAATGTTACCCTTACATTATGTAATACACTTTTTAATATATCTTTGTATTATATCGGTGTAAAAAAATATATTTTTATTAACTACATTCGTTGAAAATTATAAAATTATATAGATTTTATTTTTTTATTGATGATTTTGTTTTAAATAATTTTAACTAATAAAAAAATTAGTTAAAAATTGTACGCCAAAGAATGTGTTACTTACCGAAATTTCTTACTACACATGTTATTGAGTTTAGAAAAAAAAAATGTAAAAAAAATGGCCTTAACAACCACATTTCGAATATATGGAGAAAAAAAAAAAGGAAAAAAGAAAACTCGTGTGAAGGAACAAAAATTCTGCACGATTTAACAGAACGAGCCAAACTTACAGTGCAGGAAGAGATTTGGTTGGAGCGCGTGTTTGCACGTCCCAGTAACCAGAAACATAAAGAGTAGCCGCTCCAACTGTTTTAAGTCGCTCACTTTCGCTTCTGCAATTTGTATGGTCTCAAAGAGCCCAATGGCTTCTACCAAGATAGGACTCGGACTCGGTCCCCTTCCCACTCACCGAGTCACCTCCGTCGCCGCCCCTTCCTCCGCCGCATTCTCCCCGCCGCCGCACCGCCTCAACTCGCGGCGGCCCCTACGCGCTCGCCCTTCCCCCCTCGCCCTCCGCGTCGCCGCCTCCTCCTCCTCCTCCTCCGTCGCCTCGCCAGGTCTCGCTCGCCGCAACCCCTCTTTTCACTCAATGCCGCTGTAGCCTCGTGGCGGCGAATTCAATGCGATTTAGTTTATTTTGTTTTGTTTTGTTATTTTACCTTTTGAATTGAGCTTTGCCGTGAGGTTTCGGAGAGAACGAGGTTTTGTTGTGTTTCGAATCGTGGCTTGTGTTGGAGCGGGTGAGGGATGAGAGTGAGTGTTAATGGTGGTGGTGGTGTTGGGGATAAACCTGCATTGTTGAGTGGTGGATTGTGCGGTTGGGATTTAAGATGTGACATTTGATGTGGAATTGGAATTTGGGGAAGGGAAAAGTGTGGTGAGGATTGGGTGATGGGAAAAATGGTGGGTGGTAGTTGCAGGGTTTGATAATTTGTACTTCATTGTTGTGAACATGTATATGAGATGGAAGCATCAAGCACTTGGAGTTTGGAAGGTTGTTTTGGAATTTTATAGTGGAAAGGTTGAATTATGTGGTTTTTGAATGCGTGTCAACGGTGTCGTGGCTTGTCTTCGTGGGAATTGATTACTATCTCAGTCATTTAGGCCCGTGTATAAAGGAAGTATTATTATTATTAATCCCTTTTGGTTATTTGGTTAAGAGGAAATATTGTATGCACATCACATTCAAAATGATTTTTTTCATTGTCATTCAATCATAGATCATCATTTATATGGAAAGTTTGTTGGCTTTCATAATAATTACCTTAAAGGTCATATAAACGATGATTTTTAATTAATTGTTTAATTTTTTTTTCAATGACACTGCCTAGAAATTAACCTCTTTGGTTAATCCAGTTTTCTCGGTCCAAAGCCAGTGCTGACCTTTCTGGCAGGTGTTGTTTTTGTGACACTGTATCGAGGTTTTATGTTTACTCTGATCATAATACTGATGCCTTTTTTTTGTAACTGAGGATGTAATTATTGACTTTTCAGTTCTGAGTTTTTTTTTATTGTGTGACAATGTAATTCTTGTTTCTATTATTATTATTTTTTTAATTATTGATAGATAAGTGAAGTTGAAAGTGGCATCTTTTTTCTTCTCACAGGAAAAGGGGTTGAGAATGTGGTGATTATAGGTTCAGGCCCTGCTGGATATACAGCAGCAATATATGCAGCTCGTGCCAATCTGAAACCTGTGGTGTTTGAGGGGTACCAAGTTGGCGGTGTCCCTGGGGGACAGTTGATGACTACTACTGAAGTGGAGAATTTTCCAGGATTTCCAGATGGCATAAGTGGACCTGATCTGATGGACAGGTTTTACAAAATGAAGCAAAAACTTGTGATGGCCCATTGTACTTTGTAATTTATTATACTCATCCTTAACTCATTTTTCAACTTATGTAGGATGCGACGGCAAGCTGAACGTTGGGGAGCCGAATTGCATCAGGAAGATGTTGAAGCTATTGATGTGAAAAATAGTCCTTTTACTGTTCAAAGTAGTGAACGTAAGGTGATATATTCACTAGCAGCAAGCTGATTTATAATTTCATGAATGTGTAGATATTGATATCCCTAAAGCATCAAGGTTATATCTTTTATTTTAATTGGTTCTTTGAATCCACTGTGTGATGTTCTTCTTGTATGGATTTAAATTAATGCAAATTCTTGTACATATTTTGTAGTAACTTTTATTTGGGAATTGATACATGAAGTATTTTTCATTCATAATGCAGGTCCTGATCTGAAAGTCATTGAATTTACAAAATGTGTTGAAACTATTACCATTACTTGTGATATTGATTTACATGTATTCTAAGTTATTACATCTATATATATATATGTGTGTATATATTTTAATTTTAATATCTTTTAGGTTGTGTTTGTTTGGAAGAAAAGTAGTTTTAGTAACATCAGGTTTTCTTGATTGTATTATAATTCAGGTTAAGTGCCATACTGTCATTTTTGCTACTGGAGCTACTGCAAAACGACTTAAGCTACCCCGAGAAGATGAATTTTGGAGCCGAGGGATTAGTGCTTGTGCAATTTGTGATGGAGCATCACCTCTCTTTAAGGGTCAAGTTCTCGCTGTTGTTGGAGGGGGGGATACAGCTACAGAAGAAGCATTATACCTAACAAAATATGCTCGTCATGTGCATTTGCTTGTACGTCGAGAGCAACTGAGGGCTTCCAAAGCTATGCAAGATAGGTGTGTCTGATTAAAATTTCCGAACTCTTTACTCAGGCTTTTAAGGAACCGCTAATTGTGCAATGTATGTTAAAATTTGCTGTGATCTTGCATGTGAATAGAATCTGATCCTATCATGTACAATATATGAAGTTTCTTATATAATTACCTACTTGTATACACTTCATAATGTACAACTTTAAGTTTCTCAACCCTTTCTTATGCACACCATGTGCGTGCATGTGTGCACAAATAAACACACATAGTTATTACTTCTGTGGAAAGATAGAGTTTTAAACAAACATTGTTAGATGTGTCTTTTAATCTTATCATCTGTGTCTGGTTCTCTATTGCTGAACCTTTATTTTCCTATTTTTAGGTACAATATGTACTTTATTTGTCACCTTATGCTTAATTTAATTGAGGTTATGCAAATTATAATTTTTTTTCCTTTTATTTTGCTTCACTGTTTAATAAATATATTCATAGTGTCCCTTTTTCCTTATCATGTACATGATGAACGTTATTTCTTTAATCTTTAAGTGAATTTGTAGGCATTCTCTGTTTGTTTCAATGATTTGTATTGGATGTCAGCAATAGTTTGTGGGCATTTTGGTGAACAAGTTCAAGTTTCCTTAACTATAATTAACTTGTAATCCTTTTATGGGCCTGTGCCTTGGTTCAGTTTCTCTGAAAACTATATTTATCCTAAGGACTTAGAATATTTGATTTAATTATTTTTATCACTTATGTATGGGAAACCACACTCCCTCACTCTCTCCATATCACTTAAATAGTTAGATACACACATATAAGCAAAGATGTATTACATGATCACAAACACATTCCTGCAGAATGCAGCATGGGATAATAAGCACAGTATTCTTGTTTGGTAACATTTGTCATCATGACTGCGGTTCCTGTGGACTTGTAAAATAACTGTATTATGTTATAGTATCTTGGAAACAGAAGCAATTTGTTTTGGACATGAAGTTTTACATTACTTGCCAAATAGTAGAAACATGTCAGATTTCTTGTCAAAATTATGTTTCCATGGTGGTTTATGAAATCCTGCAATGGGGATTAGTGGGTTATAGATCTGAATTCTAGCATGATTTATTTGGTAAAAAAAGTGTGTTTATTTTTGTTTTACACATGGTGAAAACTATGTGCTTGACATAGTCAACTTTTCCATGCTGAACCCAAATATATTACCTGGTGGAAATATTCAAATAAAAATATTTTTTTTTGTTTTTCCAAAAGTGAATGCTTGTCTTAAAGAAACAATTTAATAAAACCTTATTTTTGGCATTCTTGAGACTGTAGAACTCTACAAGTTTCTTTAAAATAAACAGCAGTAGGCATTGATACAATTCTCAATCAACCTGGACAAAATTTAATATGTTTATGTAGAGAGAAAGAGAAAAATGGAGTTTGTATCTTGTATCTCCTTTTATAGTCTTCCTTGTTTGTCTGTGTTAAGGGGGACTTTTTCTTTATGATGGTGAATTACCACTAATAAACATTTTGTATGTGAGTTTTCAACTCCCTGAATGTTTGTTTAACAGGTTGATTATCACGAATGTTTCAGAGTGTTTGACAATCCCAATGTCACTGTGCACTTCAATACAGAGGCAGTGGACCTCGTAAGCAACACCAAAGGACAGATGTCAGGCATTTTAATACGAAAGATTGATAGTGGGGAGGAATCTAAGCTTGAGGCAAAAGGGTTGTTTTATGGCATAGGGCACTCACCAAATACCCAACTGTTGATAGGCCAAGTTGAACTTGACCAATCTGGCTATGTACATGTTCAGGAGGGTACTGCAAAAACTTCAGTTGAAGGTGTATTTGCTGCTGGAGATGTGCAGGTATCCTATTGTGTGCCTTGTGCTTATGTTGTTCATTGTTCTAGCATATTAGAATCAATACTACATTGTCTACAACAATGTACAACTTCTAATTAATATATTATATACCATTTTAACAGTCATTGCATAGCACAATAGCATCATTTTAACTGGATAGCCAACCCCACCTAGTTTGTACAGCTAAGGCTCTAATTATGATTGCGTTAATACACACACACATGCACTAAGCATATGTTTGATTATGAACTATACTAGTTGGGAATTTATTTGTCTGCATTATCATTTTATCTTGTGATTGAATGCTACTTTTGTATGAAAAAATGTAGTAACTGTGGTAAGTATCTTTGTAAAAGTTATTCTTATATTTTCATAGGATCATGAATGGAGGCAAGCCATAACTGCTGCTGGATCTGGATGCATTGCAGCTTTATCAGTTGAGAGATATCTTGTGAACAATGGTCTTCTTGTAGAGTTCCATCAGGTATTTGACTTCAATAGAAATCCTATTTTATTTTCACTTATTTTTCTTTTGGTATATAACATTCTAGAATGAGTGTACGTGCATATCACATTGCCACGTCACTGTATCTGTATTATTCAATGTCTTAATCCATATGCATTCCATAGAAGTTGCCAGATTTGTTTGTAAAACTTATGTGCTATAATGGATAAATTTACAAAACTTAATAAAGATAGTCTATCTAATTGTTTCTAATTCTGATCTTTTATATAAAAAACAAACTAGTGCATTTTTTTTGGACTCTCTCCCTTCCAAAACAAGCAACTCTCCCCCTAACTGCCTTATAACTACTCTCTCTATACAGTAATCAACCGAGGGCCTTCTTTTATTCAAACATAATCAAATTCTCTTAATGTGACACATGTTCCGATGTAAAATCTGTGGTTGAGATTAATTTGGGCATACTTCCTAGTTATGTTCAATGGTACAGAATTAATTTTATCAAAATCTATTCTACCCATTTTGAAACAAATGGGCCCTAAACAGTTGCTACAGCTATTCTGTTATTTCTATTAATAACAGCTGTTATTTATATTAGTAGCAGCATAAGGGTTCAATTCCACACACTCCCTCTTTTTCTTCCTAACAGAGACCCCTCATGTTGAAGGTCTGTTAACATTTTGTGGGAAATGTTGATATGTAGTTCTCATTTGACTTTATAGCTCAACTAAATGGTGTTATTGTCTGAGCAATCTTGCAGGCTTCTCTTATCTTTTGAACATGCAATTAACTCCTATTTTAATGACATTCTGAGGTTCCAAGTAGGCTCTGTTTTTCAATAGAAGATTTGTGCAGAGAAACATGGAAATTTGAGAGTGCATCAGCCATTCTATTTATGCAGAGGCACTGCCTTTTATATTAAAAAGCTAACTTAGGCTATGGTTGGCTTAGTTTTTTATTGCTTAAAACCTACTTTAAAGTTGAAGCTCAAAATAAGAACTTCAATAATAAAAGTAGAAACTGTTTGGTAGTTGTAGTTTCAAAGTGTCTTTAAAAGTAAAAGCTTTATTTCTTTCTCCCACATCATTTAGTTCTGGGGAGAAGCTAAAGGTATGTAACTTATTTTTTAAGAGCTACTTCGGTTAGTGTTTTCTTTTTCAAAAAAAGAGCTACTTTTTAATTTTTCTTTTATAAAAAATAATCTCCATAATTTGTTTTTGATTTTTTCACTAAATGTGTTTGTCCCAGCTTCTCTTTTTAAGGAAAAGAAAATCTAGAAAAAAATTTGGTCAAACACCAAGAATAATTTACTGTTAATTATTTTACCTGCATATGGTCTAGGAGGAAATGTTGATTGTTTTACCTGTGGGAAATAAATGGCTTTGGTTATTGTTGATGGACATGGTTTAAGGAAGCCATTATCACCTACTCTTAGTTTTATGAATAGGCTTTACTGAGTAACTTATTATCTATTACTCTCCAGGATCTTTTCATAGGAAGGACATATCTTAGAGCAAATATGAAGAAATGATACCCAACTATTATACATAACTAGTGATATGCAAACATTTCGTTTTTAGCCATTAGTTTTTAAGTTATACTGTTTAGCTGTCATAAAGTTGGTGCTAGTAAATACTAATATATTAATTCGTAATTGCTAATGATAAGGAAATTGCTTTTACACTAAATCAGTTTATCTACGCAACATAATCCAGTGTTAGTCTCAGCTTTCCAATTTAATTACTTGTAACAGCCAAAAACTGAAGAGGTTAAGAAGGAATTAACAGACAGGGATGTTCAAGAGGGCTTTGACATTTCACTTACAAAGCATAAGGGACAGGTATGTGCTTCCTTAACAGATGCTTATGCTAATGTGATTTTAAATCTTAGTATTTGTTATGACTAATTAGTTCCTTCTATATTTAATTCTTTGGTCTGTATTATAATACATTTTTTTTGTCTGTGTGATATCTTCTTTACAGTATGCTCTTCGAAAATTGTACCATGAAAGTCCAAGGCTTATATGTGTACTATACACATCACCAACATGTGGTCCGTGTAGGACACTGAAGCCAATTCTTAGTAAGGTATGCGAAAAAGAGGGGTTTTGAAGTTGCATCATGGTCCTTAATGTAATACTCGTGTATTTTCTGCCTGTAACATGATAGATAAGCACTAGCTACGAATAAATACACAATTTTTTCTTTTGTTATATGGTGGTACAGTACAGCACAGAACTTTATTCATATAAGAAAGAAAAGTGAACTGTGCCGCATGATGCATTGACAAGTATGCAATATGCACACGGACACAATTTTGTGTGTATTTATCTATATATAGGATACATTGTAATAGAAGAGAAAGAAAAAAGGACAACTGAGAACACTAAATAGTAAATAAGATAGCTCAAAAGATGTCAAGGATCTCAAACCAAACCGAAAGAGGTAAAATGCACATGATCTGAGTGAAGTCATTCAGTCTCTTTCAGTGTCAAAGGAAAAAGAACCACTCGAATATAGATATTAGCATATTAGCCGATTGCCAAAGTGATGCTAAGCAGATCACTTTATAACCTTTATGTTAATATCACACAAGACCGGGCATGCCTTTCCATGATGGTGAATCTTCAGAAGAAATGCTTTAGGAACGGATAATGGAATCAACTAATGAGGGGGGAAAAGTTACTTGGCCACTTAAATTAAATAATACTGCATAATATACTCTTAGGTTAGTTACTTGTAAGTTGTAAGACGTTATTGGGCCAGCCCATTCCGTAGGTAGCCTATTTACTCATTTAAATATGATGTAGTCACAAGCCATCACATGAGCCTGTAATAATGACTGCGGCTTGGCCCCCTTGTTTAATATAAATAATATACATACGCATAAAAAATTGGGCATGTCCCCTAAATCCATTCCAGGGATGATTTAGTGGTAACCATTTTGGTAAATACTTATGACTGAGTTTGTTGGATATGCACCACAAAAACACCCTTAAAGACATGCCGTACCACAGTTTACATCTCCAACTTTTTGAGTTGAATAGAGAATTTTAGTGCAGAATAAGAGACGACCTAAGTAATTTTCCTTGTAGGCGAGTGCAATGAAATACAGTAACTTAATTGGTCGTGTTATGTGCAGGATAGGTCTTTCAAAATCTCTTCTTGGACTACACCAGTATAATGTTTTTGGTGCACGGTTTATTCCCTGTCAGCTTTCTAATTGCACCTTAGCAATACTAATGATATTCAGTCAACATTATGTCAATGGACCAATCAACCAATTAAGGCTATTATTAGTCTATTGGCTTGTGAAAAAGGTGTTATCTGTACTTTTGAAATAAAATATTGCATATTATGTTAGACTTGAGAAGGAACTTTCAAAACGGACCCTACAAGTCTATTATAGTAGGAAGAATAAAAGGGTGAATTAGTTAGTTAGAAGTATGTTACTGTTGGATAGAAATCCCAAAATTTATGGGATATTATTCTTTTCAAGTGCTTTAAGAATTTTCAAGTGGGTTTTTCATTTATTTTTTTTTCTATGCTCATGTCTTCTCCATTTTTTTTCTCTTGTTAATAATACTACACTACTACTTATATATAATACTGTATTACTGTTTTCATTCCATTCTCCTATTTGGTGAAATTTCTATACGTAAATGATAGTGTCATTAACTTGCTCTATTTTTCTCTCCGTTCTCTTTAATTGACTTGCTCTATTTTGCTCTATTTAATTGAGATTGTTCCTTAGTTATATAACACAGAAAACACTTGAAATTTTAACTTTTAAGTAGTAATTTTTTTTATAACACGCGTCAAGAAAAGGGAAAGGTGAAAGCTAAAATTGATATCATTATCTCTATAATCAACTATAGATCTTGAAGACCTTGTAATCAATTTAGATTTATTCGAACAATATATATATATATATATATATGTGTGTGTGTGTGTGTGTGTGTGTGTGTGTGTGTAAAA